TGCAACTTAATTTCAAGGCCCATTAGCAGCACAAAGGGAGGGAGGTACTTTCAAATGCAAGCCCTGGAAAGCAGCGGGGACGTTTTCATTTTCAATCTCCACATGGTAAGAATAATAATTATGGTTCTTTTTATTGAGAAGAGCATTCAAGTTCAAATACACTGCACTTCAAACTCAAACACTACAATATATTATATGTTGCAACTGATGTTTGCAAAATGCGGACATTCAATTTGGACTAAGTCTCAGAAAATGGCCATCTGAATTGTGCCTGCACCTTCGATTTTGTGATTGTGTTTCTCAACTGACGATGCACTTGTAAGCAGTCATAACACAAAGGGGAGCTAGCATTATGTTGGCCTTTTAGAGAACCTTCAACGCTGGCCTGTAATTCAGCTGATGTTGAAGGACAACAACTGGGTTTTGAGAGTAAATAAGTGCACCCATACACACACCACACACCCATGCTCCCCGCCCCCTGCCCCACAGGGTACAGAGCTCTGCAATGAGTGCCCATCCCCCAAACCATTCCAGTCTAGATTGCAACTATCAAGTCCTCTGAAGGGCCACCGTGCAGAGTCACCTGTGGGAAGGAAGCTCAGTCATGCCGGACAAAACCAGAGTCCTGCTGCTAGGTGGTGTCGGCTGAGGTCTGAGAAAGGGAAATGAGATACCAAGTCCCACTTCCAAGCAAATCCCCTTGCGTATAAATGGAGAAGAGAAACTATAAAAAAAATAAAAGTAAAAAGCCTCTTGCAGCAGTAAAACCAAATGCTCGCCCCCTACAGCATAAGCCAAACCATGTGGGCAGGATTTACTGAACACCTTCAGTAGGACAGCTTTGGAGAAGACACTATGGGTAAAACAAGGATAAACGGGGGCGCTGTCAGTCCTTAGACAGCAGGCATTCTCATTATCACACATCCGTACTTCTTACCTCCCCCATGTTAGACTGTGGCCAAGGACCTCAGACCCAATCCTGTCCGCTCTACTTCATAACCTAAGATCACCATTCTGGAGAAAAGCAGAATTAGTCTTTCCGGGAAACCAAGGTGTTACTCTGAAAGCAGATAATTTTGACAAAGGCACAAGCAAGTCCTTTCAGGGAGAAAACCTGGAGAAATGGTGATTAGTTGAAGGGTGGAGATTTTTAAAAATCTGTTTTTTCATTTCTTTGATCCACCTTCCTCTTCAATAAGATAAACAGAGTTCAAAATGCAGTTCAATATGATTCTTGATTTTAATAAAGTCCACTTCAACCTAATTTCTCTAAAGGGAATGATTCACTTTCACATAATAAAATAGCGCAAGAGTGATAAATTTGGAAAGAAAAGCCATTTTGGATAAAAGCCACATGGAACACAACTAAACAGAAAAAGGAAAGGGGACGCATGCACATACACACTAATGGCCCCTACAAAGAAAATAAATGTAAGAAGCCCTTCTTCTATTGCTATGGTACCCAATTTAGAGGCAGTTTATAGCCAACCAGAAGCTATATCAGCAAGCAATCAGACACAACAGTAAGCAATCAGAACCATCATGAGCAGTGCGACAGCGGAGTAAGCAGGAAAGGCACACCAGAGAGAGCGCTTCTGAGCAATTACCACATGTCTTAATGCAGAAAGGGAGAACGAATGACTTCACACCCTAGGACTAGAACCCTATAAAGATGAACTCTCACAGCTTAAGAGCTATTATTCCTGCTATGACAAGAGGGGTAGGAGGACCACTTGTGTGACCGGGGCCCAGACATAAGGCACACAAGCCATGGGGGATTGATAATGAACTAGGACTATGAACTTAAGTTCTTGTTCTTCTTTTTCACACCCTAATCTATAGCCATGACAAATAAACAAATGCTGATTATTTGAAAAGATATTTATTTCTGAAGGAAATAAAGGAGAGTTCCTTTAATCTTTATTTCACATCTATGTCCACTGTGGCCAATGCAAAGCCTAGAGAAGGGATGTATATATGCACACACACATGCAGAGGGGCGAGCTTCTTCTTTTTTAAAATAATACATAGGTCAATCAAGGAATAGACACCCAGACCAAAAAAAAAGAAAAATTTCCTTGTTAAACAGGCTATACTGTCAGCTCTTTAGGAACCTCAACAAAAAAGATAGCATACTTCCCCAGACTCATCCATTTGCAATGATTTACAAAGAAAAGCAAGAGATACAGCACACACTCTCTCTTCTCTCTGTGGTGCTAGGCAGCCTTATGCTGAGCTCAGAGGATTCCAGTACCAAAGGTCCCCTCTCCCAAATATTTAACTCACTGAAGCCCGTGAAACCACTTACTTCTCAGAGATACTGAGAAGATTATACTTAATACTAGAGGCCTGGTGCATGAAATTCATGCACTGGACGGGGGGCGGAGCGGGGCTCCCTCAGCCCAGCCTGCGTCCTCTAGCAGTCCAGGACCGCTTGGGGTATGTCCGATTGCCAGATCAGGGGGATAGGGCCTAAGTCGGAAGTCGGACATCCCTCTCACAATCTGGGATCCCTCGCTCCTTTCTGCTTGCCTGCTCGATCCTTACCGCTTGGCTCACTGCTCCATAGTGCCACTGCTCCTTCGTGCTCACTGCTCCTTCGTGCTCACTGCTCCTTCGTGCTCACTGCTCCTTCGTGCTCACTGCTCCATAGTGCCACTGCTCCTTAGTGCTCACTGCTCCTTCGTGCTCACTGCTCCTTAGTGCCACTGCTGTGCTTGCCAACTGTGAGCCTGGCTTTAGGCTGGATGGCTGCTCCCCCTGTGGGAGCGCACTGACCACCAGGGGGCAGCTTCTGCATTCGTTGAGTGTCTGCCCCTGGTGGTCAGTGCGCATCATAGCGACCAGTCGTTCAGGTTGTTCTCCATAACGGACGCTTAGGCTTTTACTATATAGATTGTGGCCCCAAGAGTCAGGAACAATAACTGGTATTAATGGGTGGTTGCTCCATGTTAGTTTACTCTCGTTCCTTCCAAGTTTCTTCGGAGTCACAGCCCATTTCTAGTCTGTTTCTCCTCCATGAGGCCCTAACACCTCAATTTTACCTGCCTGCAAAGCTTACCTTCCTGTGAGAAGCCTTCTACAATGACCTCCATTTACAGTGACCACAGTTTGTATTATTTTATGCCTGTGTATTATTTTCCTAATTGCCCAGTAAAAATATCAAAGGTATCACACACACACACACACACACACACACAAGGGAGCTAGAATGAGGTTAACTATTGAAGGCATAACTTGTCTCCCATTTTCCCCAAAGGAAAAAGAAAACTCTTTGGTTCTTTAAATGTTAGTGAAAACAGAGGACTGATGGTATTGCTACAGGAGCCCCCCTCAGAGCCAGTGGCTTAGGGAATATGCTCAAGAGATATCTGATAACTGAGTAAACTAGCTCAATACTCAGGGCAGGGAAGAAGTAGCCACCAACTCCCTCCTATGTCACTGCTGGAGGTCTACCCACCATTCTCTACTCTGGGGCTAGGGCCCAGAAGGAGAAGTCTCTCTGAGAGCCTGGCTCACAAACAAAACAGCCAGAGGCAGTAAGATCCCTGATCAGGGGAGAGAATGACAGCAGACATGTATACACAGTTCCTGCAGGACAGAGGCAGTGGGAGGCAGCAGTCAGTGAGAGCGCGCCCCACCCTGCCCAGCTCCAGGACAGTGGGAAGGTAGAGCAATCAGACGGGAGCTTTCCTACAGCCTTTCCTACTGGGGAGGGGATGGAGGAGTGCAGCCTGGAGAGGCATGGGTGCTGTTTATTAATAAGCAGCTCAACACAGTGGGAGGTTTTCTTGTCTAATTACAGAAGCTGTTGGAAACTGCAGGGAAGATAGGATTTATGGCCTAGATGACACTGCCTCTGTGTTGTAATTAAAAGTTATTTTTAATACCTCTGTTTGGTTAGATACTTTGGATTATTAGAAATATAGTCTGCAATTTAAAACCTGTGAAAGGGCAAAGAACATAACAAACAGGTAATACAATAAGCTTGTACAATGTGAAACGATTAAATATTTTGACACTGGAGGTGGGAAAGAAAAGGAATCTCTCCCAATTAATTCTGGGAATTTCTGTAAGAAAGGGGAAGTGAGAAACAAGCCAACGAGTATGCTAAACTGATTTTCAAAAGTAGCCCAGCTACTTATTTTATCCACTAACTAGGGTTTGGATACCACCCATCAGGAGTAGTGAATGGGTATTCATACCATTCACCCAAAGCACCCGATGTTAACCTTTCAGCACCTTTCTTTGTCCCTAGTCCCTAGGAAAGGACTGTGTTACCCTAACAAGAGCAAGTCCTGGCTCAACCACAGAGCCCCAGAGGCCAACCCCAGGGCAGCGATAAGGGTCCAACACGAGCTATGGACAATACATGCTGGGTTTGATTTGGGTTTTGTGGTTAACCCACTTCTCTTCTCTCATGCAAGATTCCAGTTTCAAGACGGGGCCAGACACAATGAACCCCAGTGGGAACCGCACGGTGGCATCCATGAGTGGCTACAGAATCAGCCCAAGATCAGGTAGGCGCCATTATTTCCTACATCCATTTCCAGAATTTATTTCTCCATATGCACACGGAGGCATATGCAACAGTGGCTCTTCTTTAACAACAGGGAGGAGGGAGTCTATCATATGTAATAGACTTTTGAAACTGTCTGATGAAAATGGGGAGGAGGAAGGCCCTCTAACCAGGACGCGCTTCCCAGATAACCCCTACATTTCATTTATCCATGCTATGAATCTTCTCATTAAAAGTGAATTCTAGGAGCTCATTATGTGAAATATATCATAGGAACCACCAGACATCACACGTTATGATGAGACTATAAAAGCATTTTAACATCTGTTATTCAAAAATAAATTTAAACTCAGCTTCACAGGGGCCATACCAAGTTTATGGGATTTATCTTATATGGAAAAGAACTACTGTGCTTCTTTATTCTTTTCCCAGTTCAAATCAAGAGCTGACCCACGCCGGGCTATAGAATCGCCCTCCTTACCTGCCACATTAATTTTCTCAAGTGCTACCAAGCTGGGAACAGCTGTGGTGGAGTTGGTTGAATTTGTTCCTGTGCCATTGATGACAAGGGTGTCCACCTTTGACTCTAACTTGCCAATGCGCTGCAAAATATTATCCAACAACACGGCGAGAGTTTTCTTCAGATCTGTAAAATAAAATGCACAGTTTAAAAATTCTTTGGTCACGGAATAGGTGTTCAATGCACATGCTCTGTCTTCCTCTCTCTGACATTAAGAAGGAAAAGTGGCCCGGTAAGTGTTGCTCAGTGGATAGATTGTTGGCCCTTGGAATGAAGGGTCCCGGGTTCAATTCTGGTCAAGGGCATATACCTCGGTTGAGGCTCGATCCCTGGGCCTGGTCAGGGCATGTGCGAAAGGCAACCAATTGACATATCTCTCTCATCTCTATGTATGTGTGTGTGTCTCTCTCCCTCTCTAAAAATCAATGGAAAAATATCCTCAACTGAGGATTAACAAAAAAGAAAAAGAAAAAGAAGTAGCAGAGTCAATACTGCCCAAGGCCTGTCCCAACAAACCATATCTTAAAGATGACAGGGCCATCTTCAAGTGTCCAGAAAGCACAAAACAACGTGGTCTGTTCTGGGACTCAAGTTGGGCAATAAACGACATAAATTATTTCTAGCCGCTGGGCTGATGGAGAAAACTCCTGTTAGCATCCTACCAAAGCACTCTGTGAAATTCCTCCTCCTTATAGCACGATTCACTGGAGCACAGAATGACAATCCCCAAGGGCGGCCAGGTCCTGAAGTAGTTTCTGGATCAAGTTTGGTGTTATTTCAGTGTCCTATACTGCAGTATGTCCCAAGTTTTTTGCAGTCTCTATTTCGGTTGTTTACATATGGTAACAATAAAAGCCACAGTTCCCAGATTTCTAGGCGTGCAGATTTAGAAAAATACTTCAAGACCAGAGGCATTCACTCATTCAAGAACTATCACACAACTCCTGGGTGCCAGGCACTGCCTTAGATGTTAGGGATATTCCCTCATGGCACTTCCATGCAAGTGCTGACTCCCTTTCTTACATATCTGACTGTGGGTAGGAGTGATACACTTCCCTCCAGACATGTCATCCTCGTATACATCAACATTCGATGAGCTGGTATGTGAGGTTTTCCACATACACAGAGATGAATTTAGCCCTTCTCCTCTGGAAACTTATAATCAAAGAAAGATATGCTGACTTTTACATGTGGAAAAGGCAGAAGGACAACAGGATGCCCATCATGTGGATGGAATCCAGACTCATTTATGAACTGGGAGTGGGCCAGTGGAACAGGAACAGTGTGGGTGCATATGTGGTGAAGTCCTGAACATAGACAAATGGGAAGCTGCTACCTTCCTCTATGCTGGGAACAGAGCAAACTCACTCTGAGCAGGTGCTCTGATCTGGCCTGGTAAAAAACACACACCTGGTTAACTCACCAACCCCAGGCACAGCCTACCAGCACTGGCCTAGAAGCACTCAGGTGGCCCCCTTCTGCCAGGCCAGGAGAGAAACTCATCAAAACAGAGGCACAGATATGCAATTAGTATGGAAGTCTGTGTGCTCAGTGGCTCACAGATGACATCACTAGAGCTGACAAAAAACTACAAACAGAAACAGAGCCCCCATCTTGATTCAGGAAGTCTGACTGATGTGCTTGGAACGATCTCACCCACCTCTCCCAACACTGAACATCACACTTCTTCACAATGGTAAGATCGTAGCGGTCTGTTCATTCATTAATTCTAACAAATATCTGACCAGGCTTAATTTTTGCTCTTCAGTATGTATATTACCTGAAGGCAATAAGCTGTCCGTGGCTTTAGGGCAATAGTGCCAAAGATCTGACTATAACAAAGAAGGGCAGAAGAGAACTAACGTTTTCTGAAGGCCTACCATGTGCCATGCCCATATATATCTCCTATTTAATAAAAAGGTAATATGCAAATTAACCCCCATGCCCTCACAAGATGGCTGCTTACAACCAGGCCAGCAGAGAGGTTAGTGAGGGACGACCAAATGACTGAACAGCAGGCTGCATGGGGCAACCAGTCCAGCAAGGTGTTAGCGAGGGATGAACAAACGACTGAACAGCAGGCTTCGTGGGGCAACCAGGCCATCAGTGGGGTCAGTGAGGGATAACCACATGACTGAACAGCAGACTGCATGGGGCAACCAGGCCAGCAAGGGGTAAGTGAGAGACGACCAAACGACTGAACAGCAGGCCCCCCCGCCCCCCATGCACAAATTTCATGCACCGGGCTTCTAGTGTGTGTGTGTGTGTGTGTGTGTGTGTGTGTGTGTGTATGAAATCCCATGATATGTCCATATTCTCCATGAGATAGGTATGACTTCATTTTACAGATGGAAAAACTGAGGTTCACAGATATAAAGTAATGTGTTCATGGTTACAGACATAACTCAGATCTGCCTAATTCCCCGATGCCTCAATGGGACCAGTTTCGAGTCAAGAGCCAAGGTGAAAAAAACAACAACAACCAAGTGCGAAATTCAGTGTCTTTCATCTTTAGCATAGCGCAGGGGTGGGGAACGTCTGGCCCACAGACCATATGAGGCCCACAAAATCATTTGGTCTGGCCCCTCCAAGCATTAGAGGTGAGTTAAGCAAATATTTGACCAAATACAGCAGGCTAATTTTTAAACTGATAATTGTATATGGCCCACGGATGATGTTATAAATACCCAAATGGCCCTGGGCAGGAAAAAAGTTCCCCACCCCTGGCCATGTGGTTAAGGGCCCACACTTTGGAGTCAAAGTTCCTAGGTTTGAGTCCTCGCTCTCCACTCCTGTTTCCTTACCTGTAAAAGAATGATAATAATAACCCTGCCTCTTAAAGTAGTTATGAAGTCTAAAGAGTTCAACATTTATAAACTATTTTAAAACTTCCTGGCACATAACAGGCACTACATAAGTGCCTGCTAAATATGCAAATAAAAAATAAAACCCTCGCCGAAACCGGTTTGGCTCAGTGGATAGAGCGTCAGCTTGCGGACTGAAAGGTCCCAAGTTCGATTCCGGCCAAGGGCATGTACCTGGGTTGCGGGCACATCCCCAGTAGGAGATGTGCAGGAGGCAGCTGATCGATGTTTCTCTTTCATCGATGTTTCTAACTCTCATCTCTCTCCCTTTCTCTCTGTGAAAAATCAATAAAATATATTTTAAAAAAATAAAACCCTCCTCTGGAATATGCTTCCTGAAGAAACCTCCCCATGGGTGATGTGAAGTTTTACCGTTATCCAGAGTCTCAGATGGCTCTCCTCCGCGGCTGCAGTCCCAGTCGGCATGACTCAGTCTGTCCCAGGCATGTCACAAGCTGGCACGGCCAGTGGCAGTCAGCCACCAGCTCTGCTCTTACGCTGACCTGAGGCAGGCACGGGTTCTCTAAGGCTCTGAGGACTGCCAGAGACCAGCCACATAGATGCAGGCTGCAGTGCCACGAAGAGATGGATGAGCCCGGTACAAAGAGACCGCTCCTCAGACAAAAGGCATCAAGCTCCCCCATCGCCAGCCTCTTTACCTGTCCTGCCAGCCAGGGAGTCCCTGTGTAAAATGGCATTTCACTATTACCTGCTAGTTCGTTTGGGGTAACCCAGGGTTTCTTAGCTTCAGCTTTACTGACACTTTGGGCCAGATCATTCTTTGTTGTGTGGGGCTGTCCTGTGATTTGTGGAGTGTTTGGCAGCATCTCGAGGCTCTAGCCATTAAATGATGGTAGCAATACCTCCACTATGACAACCAAAAATGTCTCCAAACATTGCCCAAGTCCCTTGGCGGGGGGGGGGTAACATTTCCCTCATTTGAGAACCACTGAATTAGGCAACTCCTCTCCACCCTCTTTTCACCACTGCCCCTCCTTCTGTGGAGATACCAAGAGAGAAGTCTGATAGAGGTGTATGGGGTCGTGAATGGAAATGGGAGAAGCCACCCAGGGAACCTACATCCTGATTGCTGTTCAGTGGGCACCAGAGACATCACTGCAGATACCATGGGAAGTGCCAGGAGGGAGGCCGTCCCTCCTTCTATGGGAGCCTACGACTTAAGGGCTGGTAACCTTTTATATCGTCAAAAGGCAACAGAACTACAGACAGAATCCCTAACCCAGTTATTGGTGGAGCACACCTGAGGTAGGATATGAAGTTGTCACTTGAGCACTAAGATTTTCTTCTTCAATTCTTAAAATACAGTCAGTCCACCAACAAGTGCAACCTATTTCATATTGACCTCCCCTGGCAGCCATGGGCTCCGACATGGTGTACATGAGGGAATTTGTGATGAGAAATGTAACCCAATACTACTAACCACGGGGATCCCTCTGCACCACCACCACGTAACGAGCGTCTCTGTCAGCTGCTTCCCTCAGGGACTAACTCCTGATCCTGCCCGGACAGTACGGGGAATGTACTGTGGTTCCCACTCCTGTTTTATATATGAATAAACCACAACTCGGGGAGGATAAGTAATTTGCTCCAGGTGACTGCAGACCCAAGGCTCATACCCACAATGGATCCAGGTCCAGGCTCCTATCTACCATGCGACATCACCTCTAAAAAGCCACCACGCACCTGTCAGCCGGAAGCATCCCTGACCTGCTGCTCCAGAACACACTCGCCAGGGAGTAACCTCTGGGCTTCAGCCATGATAGATCACATCCCAACTGCCCTCAACAACTGCCGATGCCACTGTTTTTTAAGCAAATCCAACATTAAACATAATTTAAAATCTGCCTTTCCACACCTTATGCCTTAAAATGAAATATAACACTATCCAGAACTTTGGACTCTAGACATGTCACCTGGGTAGGCATTTTTCTCTCTCTCAATATGAAAGGAAAAAACTTCACTTTCATTTCAAGCAGCTATTCGAGTCACTATTTCAAGGCAGTCCAACACGAGACAAAAGACACTACCAATAGAATATACCAGGGCCAAGCGATGCCAACCCCATCTCTGCATCCTCACCAACTGGCACCCAGCCTGGCGCATTACAGTGCTCAGTAAGTGTGTGCATGAATGAATGAACCAACAAGTAAACAACAATTTTCCCAGAAATGAAGCTACACAAATTATACCTTTCTAGGTGGTGAAATGATTTCTCACCTTTGTATTTTACAGCTAAACCTA